TCAGCTCGGGCTGCAAGGGGGAGAGGGGGTCATCACGGCAGGACTATCACACACACCCGTGACAGCAGCGACATAGCGATGATGCTCACAACCAACCGAATCAGGGTCAACGAGGAAACAGGGGGGTGGGGAGATAAACAAAGGAGCGTCATACAGCGACCTATGCCGCTACAGTCTCCATTCAGTCCTCCTCCACCGCACCTTCCATCCACCTGCCCTCTGTCCCTAATATCAGTGGAACCCCAACGCCGCACAGAATCATGCTACCTGCATAGCCAGCGCCAGGCAGTCCCGCAGCGTCGACATGCCGCAGTTGGCATATTGCGATATCGTATGGAGCTGCCCGCAGGCGGCTGACACCGCCGCCGCTGCAGCTACAGCCGGCACCGTTCCCGCTGTGGCTGCATGTTGAGCCGCCAAGCCTGGGGATATCTGCAGATGATGTCCCGTCTGCTCCTGCTCCCAGCCTTGCTGGTGGTGGTGGTGGTGGTTCTGATCGCGATCCAGCTGATGGTTCAATGAACCCGGCAGTAGCGACGGAGCCTGCTGCTGCTGCCGAGGTTGCGGTGGCGGCAGTAGCGGACCCGTCACGGCAGGTGCACCCGCGTCCGGGTCGAGGGAGGGAAGCAGCGACCCCCACCGACTCAGCGGGGCCCCCGCCGACACCGTGCCGGGCAACCCTCCTCCCTCTGGCGGTCCCCCTCTGGAACCCGCGGGGAGTGCGGCAGGGTGCCGCTGCGGGTGGTGTGGAGGGCTCTGGGGCCCCGTTGCCTGGCGGCCCAGTGCTTTGGCGGATGGTACGGGTGAATGTGGCTGCAGTGGTGGCTGTGGAAGGCTCGTCCGCGGCGGTAGGGGCAGTTGGAGGCACCAGAAGGGCTCCACCTGGGTAGCTGACCTGCGGAGCGGCGGGGTTGGCTTAAGACTACAGTTGTTTATTGCGGGGAATGCAAAAAGGAGAGGCCAGGGGAGTTGGGGGGTCGAGTAATAAGAGCCAATTCAGGGTTGAATCCAGGATGGGATGTGCAATGGTTGAGGACGGGACGGAGACATTCACAGGATGTCATGCGCCTGCTCCTGCACCCTACTTTAGCTCTGCACCGACGTGTGTGCTTACGTGGCGCCGCAGTCGCCGCAAGTGGAGGTGACGGAGAGCAGACCTCGCAAGGGACTGGCGGGGGCCAGGTGGCCGGGGCATGAGGGGCAGGGGCCGGCCGCAGCAGCAGAGCGGAACAGCCCGCAGTTGGTAGATGAAGAAGAGGAGGAGGAGAGCAGCATGCAGCCGCCGCCGCCGCCGCCGCAACAGCTGCCGCTGTGGCCATTTGCGGCGCTGGCTGTCGCGACGGAAGTGGGGAGGGGCGCGGTGGCGGAACCGGCTTGAGCCCCTTGTTGAACCGAGGCGACATCTGATGCTGCCGCGTGCTCCAACACGTCACACCGCTGCCCATTCGGTCGTCTGAGGCTACAGCTGCCACAGCTACTGCTGTCCGCATGTTCGCTACCACCGGGTGGCTCAGGAGCACCCGGGCGGCCCGTCATGGCCACCCCGCCCGTATTGTCGCAGGGCGGTCTGAGACTCTGACCCTGGCTGCCCTTCGGCTCCGTGGCCGCTGCTGCTGCTGCCACCGCCGCCATTGCTTCCGAAGCCTCCGGCGCCGCTACAGCCGTTAACGTCACAGCAGCATCCTGCTCTTTTGATTCTCGTGTAGCGGTAGCAGTAGCAGCTGCTGCTACTGCGGCGGCGGCGGCGGGAGCGGCGACGGAGTCAGCAGTGGCGGCAGCAACAATCCGTTCTAGCGGCGAATTGATCCACCTGCCGTACAGCATGTACCACGCCGCCAGCTCCGTGTCCAGGGAGTCGCAGAGGCACTGCGCACAGTGGTTGCCGGTGCGCGGGACGAGTATACCCGGCCGACACAGCTCATTAGGTTCATCAGGCAAAGCTATGTCGCGGTGCTGTTTCCACAGCCGACCGCTGCTCCACTTCCCCCCCCCCTTGTGTTAATCTCTTCAAACGTCCGTCAAACCAAATGAGGTAGGTAGGTAGGTGGGTAGGTGGATGGGTGGGTGGGTGGGTAGGTATGTAGGTGGGTGCATGGATAAGTAGCAGGTAGGTAGGTAGGTAGGTAGGTAGGTAATTAAGGAGGGAGGGAGGGAGGGAGGGAGGTACACACGGATACTTGGAAGTGCTGTATAATGTAAATCCACACCTACAAATGGGAACTGAAAGTACTCCGGGTGCACCCTCTTTCTTTCCTCGCCATCGCAGGAAACCCCCCTGCCGCCACCACCGCATGTACCATCCCAACATCCCACCGCCGACTGTACGGTACTGTACGGCATCTCACCCCCAGGGCCTCCGCCGCGTCATTCTGCTGACCTAGCTCCAGCGCTGATCCCGCTACATGTCCTCGGAGCGCCGCCAAGAGAACGGACGGGTCCAAGGGCCCCGACGCAGGAGAGCTTGGCCTTGGTGGCGACGGCAGTGCTGCCGCCGCCGTGCATGTCGCGTCAGTCACGCCTGCGCGGCTGTAGCTCGGCTGGAGTTTCCGCAGTATGGCATCTAACCGTAGCAGCAGCGTACCCGTAGCGAGGCGCTCCAGCGGCGATGGCGGCGGCAGTAGCCGTGGCCCTCGACGGCAGCCGGTGGCGGCGGTGGGCATGACGACTGCCGTACACGCGGCGGCGGCGAGTGGCGACAAGAGGGACGGCCGGTGGGCGCCCGACCGCTGAGACGCTGAGTTATGTTGGTGCGCCTGCTGGCCCGGTAATCGCTGCTGCTGCTGCTGCTGCTGCTGCTGCGGTGGCGGCGGCGGCTCCCAGCCTGAACCCGGAAGCAGTTGGGTATCGGTATCGGGGGAGCGGGGAGCGGGGAGGGGGGAGCGGGGACCCAGTGTGTGATTTGGACAGCGAGCTGTGGAAGGATGCGGCAGATGCACTACTGGCGTGTATAAAACTACTGGCGTGTATTCGCTCAAGGGACTGAGTGCCGTACCCGAACCGCGGCGGGGGAGTACCGACGGATGGGGAGGAAGTTTGCCGTACCGCGGACTGCACACTTTGCGGTAAGTCGGCCACCCCCACCTCACCTTGCAGCCAGAGGGCCGTCCGACATAATCCACGAACCAGTAACAGCAACAGCGGGGCAGCAGCAGCTGCCGCCGCGTCCAATGCTGTCGCCGCCCGCCGCGCCGCTGCTGCTGCTGCT